CCAATGAATTTCACAATTATCCGAAATTTTCCAAGCTTTCGTCGAAAAAAAATTCAAATTTTTTGCGTTCTTCCGGATTTTTCTGAGTTTTCCACCTAGAATTTTCTATTTTTTCCATTCGAATGCCATACCGAAGGAATTGCACACAAAAATCCATGCAAAAAAAAATCAATTTTCAATTTTTCCAATTTTCCGGTTTTCCGGAGAGGCTACCTAGGTACCAAATTTTATGCAAATCGGACCATAAATACGATTTTTTAGAATAGATCAGTCCCTGGTCCACTTCCCGAAAAAAAGGATCCTATATGCTAACATAGGCAAAAAGCTACCTACGTACCAAATCAGTCCCTGGTCCACTTCCGAAAAAAAGGATCCTATATGCTAACATAGGCAAAAAGCTACCTACGTACCAAATTTTAAGCAAATCGGACGATAAATACGTTTTTTTCGAATAGATCGGTCCCTGGTCCACTTCCGGAAAAAAATATCCTATATGCTAATCTGGCAAAAACCCACCTACGCACCAAGTTTTAAGCAAATCCGACGATAAATATGATTTTTTCGAATAGATCGGTCCCTCGTCCACTTCCCGGAAAAAAGCATCCTATGTGCAACCTAGGCAAAAAGCTAACCACGTACCAAATTTTAGCAAATCGGACCATAACTACGATTTTTTCGAATAGATCGGTCCGTGGTCCACTTCCCGGGGAAAAAAATATCCTATATGCTAATCTGGGCAAAACCTACCTACACACCAAGTTTTAAAGAAATCGGATGATAAATACGTTTTTTCGAATAGATCGGTCCCTGGTCCACTTCCCGGAAAAAAAGCATCCTATGTGCTAACCTAGGCAAAAAGCTAACCACGTACCAAATTTTAAGCAAATCGGACCATAAATAAGATTTTTTCGAATAGATCGGTCCCTGGCCCACTTCCCGGAAAAAAGCATCATATGTGCTAATCTAGGCAAAAAGCTAACTACGTACCAAATTTTAAGCAAATCGGACCATAACTACGATTTTTTCGAATAGATCGGTCCCCGGTCCACCGGAGGGGTTTTCCGTTTTTTTCTTTCTTATAAAAAAAATTAGCCAAATCGGCCCAACCGTTCTCAATTGATGATTTTTCACACCATTTTTATATATATAGATTAGAAGTACATAACTAAAAAAAATATTTTCTAGGGTCAAAATTATGGGCGCTTTTATTTTCCTTCCCCTAAATCTGCGAAATTACGTACTGTGCGCTGGTGGTTGGAGCAAAAAATAATCTTAACCAACTGCTTTAAGTAAGGGTATTCATCACACGTTATAAATGCATTATTAAGCGTATAAACCTATAATTGCGTAACAGTGTTGCCGCGAGCTTGAAAAAAGTATGAGTTGCCAAGAAAAAGTATCAAAAAGTATCAAAAGCAAACAAAACTGCTATTTGTTAAACTCTTAATTAAAAAAACAAATAACGAAAAACAAGCTTATAGGGCCCTTAAACCACATAAAAGCATTGCGCGACCCGAGACTTGTACAATTCAATATTGTGGAAATTACTACAGAATAAAATTGCGCAAACCTTATTTTGGAGAAATGTTGCTCAAGTAAATATGTGCAAGAAATATGAACGTGCGTTGTATATTTTGATAGTTTCAACCAAAATCAAAAGTAGACTAAAATTTTCGCAGTTGTCGCCATACGCAGCACAAATTATTGTACAAGCAAGAGCATAATATCAAACTAATTTTTATTTTAGCGTAATAACTGTGCAATTTATTTACCACTGATGTGCAATTTACAATCAACCCTATACACCACGTAAACGACCGACGCAAGCCCGATATTGGGCAATGTTTTTGTGTGGTTTAGGGGCTCTATAACAGCGGTATGTGCAAAGAAATTCCGGGTTGTGTTTCCCTTATAAAAGTTACCAAATCAAATTTATAAATATCTATATATAAATTTTGAAAAAATATATCTTATTACATTAAACGATCAATTCTTGTATATATAAATATCCATAGGGTTCTCGGAAACGGCTCCAACGATTTTGATGAAATTTAGTACACAGATTATGTTTTGGATTTTAAAGTTATCTGAATAGGCAATATCTCCGAGAAGACTCGTATAAGGTTGCCACCTATTCCAAATTAGTTACAAATTAATTAAAACATCATAATATGGGTATCAAATAGAAGGTATTTTAAATATCCCTAATTCAAAAATATTTTTAATTAANTGTGCAAAGAAATTCCGGGTTGTGTTTCCCTTATAAAAGTTACCAAATCAAATTTATAAATATCTATATATAAATTTTGAGTCTTTAAATAACAAGAAAAAATATATCTTATTACATTAAACGAGCAATTCTTGTATATATAAATATCCATAGGGTTCTCGGAAACGGCTCCAACGATTTTGATGAAATTTAGTACACAGATTATGTTTTGGATTTTAAAGTTATCTGAATAGGCAATATCTCCGAGAAGACTCGTATAAGGTTGCCACCTATTCCAAATTAGTTACAAATTAATTAAAACATCATAATATGGGTATCAAATAGAAGGTATTTTAAATATCCCTAATTCAAAAATATTTTTAATTAAAGCTGCCACCTATTTTGAATCGCATATTTATTTAATTTTTTGTTTAGAAAAAAAAGGTAAAATATTACTATAATNCAATTGCATATTTATTTAATTTTTTGTTTAGAAAAAAAGGTAAAATATTACTATAATAGTATGAGGTTGCCACTTATTTTAGATTCTACACAATTTATCTAAAACATCACAATATGGATATAAAATGAAAGGTATTGTTGAGAACTTTGGCCAGAAAATATTTTCCATCAGGGTTGCCACGATTCCTTGTAATACAAATTTTTTTTGTTAATCTCAATCAGCATTTTTTTATGTATACATAGTACGCATACGCTCAAGATATGTACCATTCATTCCAACGTATTTTGGAATAGGGTTGGAACCTAATTTTTAGAGTAAAGAATTTACTTAATAGATATGGAAATCCTATTTTTTTTGTTTATTTCCAAAATATTTTTTTAAAGCTATCCAAATCTTGAAAACTTTAAAAAGTATATGCACTCTGGGCAAAGCTCGGTCAACCTGGTACTTTGCCTTTAAACTAGTAAAATTATTCATAGTTTTCAAAAATTATCAAATCTTACAATTTAGAAAGAAAAGTATCAAAGATGCCTTATAAATAAATATATTAAATCAAAATTTGTATGGAAACTCGTTTACACATTTCTGATAAATTTTTCCAGCTTTTTCACTGAATAAATTTGATAAACTGAAGCCAGTGCAACTCTGTCGCAACTGTAGCTGTGTTTTCTTGGGCAATAATCAGTTTCCGCATAAAAATTTTGCACGCAAATTCAACAACAACGATATGATCCTGATAGAGATCTTGTTCAATTTACTATCCATTCTGTTTGTTTTGTTCCACTGAGAATTTCGCCGCACAGTTTGGTAGCACTGACAAATGAATTCATATACAAACAGACACTCTGCCTTGTTTCTTTTAGCTTGCTTCAAATTAATCGCCTTTATGTTAAATATTTATTTAAATGAATATTATCTCGTCTAAATCACATATGTAATACTTCTATATTGGCAGTAAGCTAATTTCTCAATGTGTAAGCATTCCGAAATCAAAACGAGACAGTCTAGTACCGTTTTTATCAATGCATTGTGTACGTGAGTGCCGTTTTTGTGTATGTGTTGTGTACATGCCCTGCAGCGGAAATACTAGTATAGAACTAGTGAATTAACCAGTTTTCGGGATTCGAATACCGGTACCTCGCAAATCTATCAGCCATGCTTTCTACTGCCGCATTTAACATGGAGTTGCCTTGGAGGTGATAATTGACTCCCGCTGCGTAACTTTGCCCTAGTACTAGTAGTAGTAACATGTACTCTTCAACCGAACCACGTTTTGTATCTCGCTGCGTAACCTGGTACTAGTATACAAACTAGTGTGCTGGGGATTATAATTGACTCCTGCTTAGTAACTTTACCCTAGTATTAGTAGTGGTAACTTGTAACCAGTAAAAGTACCACCATCCTGGTACCATTACCGAAACTAGTGTGCTAGGGATGATCATTGACTCCCGCTTAGTAACTTTTCCCTAGTATTGGTAGTAGTAACATATAACCAGTAAAAGAACTATCATCCTGGTACCAGTGGCAGCATTTATTGTACCAGGTCAAAAAATGAATTGCCTTTTCCTTGTGTTTATTAAATAAAATTAATAAAAAGTCGAAATTTCTACAATATATTCATTTACAGGGGCAGCAAAAGCTATTGTATTCAAATCAGAACAATTAGAAAATGAACGGAAAATGATTACAGTGGGTGTCAGTGAAAATCGTACAGTAAATTTTTTAAATTTCATTGAGTTTTTATAAAAATATAGTACCTACTACAATAAAATCCATTTAACTCAAAATTTCAAACTTCGTGATAAATTTACAAAAATTCGTCAAATATTCATTGAAATTGGGGTATGCAGTTTTAGTTTAATGAACGTGCAAGTTTTAAGTTGCTACAAATTCTCGTTAATTTTTATAATTTCGTTTTGCAGACGATGTTGCTCCTTTTATTTAATATGGAATGCATGCGTTATTGTAACTTTTGGTGATTTCGTTTCTTCCAACAAATGTTGCCCTTTCTCGATGCAAAATGTGTTTGTTTTTACACTCAACCCTGGAAAAGGGCATGTTTTTGCCTTCCTTTCCTGTCCCAGCAACCTTCTCCCCTGACAAAGATTCACAGGGCAGAGAATGTGCTTTTTTGCCTTACAAGAGTGTGACATTTTAAGAAATGAACGCCACATTTTCTCACCCTTTGCCTTTAATTTAGAATCGAACACGAAAAGAGAAAGGGGCAATCAAAAGGCGAAATTTTTTGGTAGAAACGAAATCACTATTTGTTACAGAGTTTGAAACTTTGAGTAATGTGGATTTTGTTGTAGTGTGGACAATGTTTCTATAAAAAATTTATTAAATTACAAAAAAAAATATATGGAATGAAATTTACTGTTCGAATTTTACTGAAACTCACTGTATATATCATGATCTGCGGATAACAATATTTTTATAACCGAAATATTAAATTAACTTGGATATTAAATTATGTGCCGGGAATTCAAAATGCACTAGAAAAAATCAGTTAATAAAGTTGTAAAAAAGTATTACAAACACTAATCGGTCATCGCTAATGCTAAGCACTTGAAGTACCTTTCAGATTTTAAAATATTACATTACATATTTTACATATTTTTGATTTCCTTTCAAACGCGAACCGCTGATAACAACATTTTTATAATCGAAATTTTAAATTAACTTGGATATTAAATTATGTGCCGGAAATTCAAAATGCACTATCAAAAAAAACCCAATAAAATTGTATAAAAATATTAGAAACACTAATCGCTCTTCGCTGTTGCTAAGGACTTGAAGTATTTTTTTTTTTTTGATTTTGAATGGCGCGACGCAGCTGATCTTCCACACTTTTCCCTGCTGGGGCCACAAAAGATGCTACACGGAATAAAGAGTCGTTATGAATTATACAAAATAGTGCTTATTGATTACTAACCCTTCAGAGCAGCATAAAAATGTGAGACGTCTTTAAGGCTCTTCTTGCCATGTATTCCATATAAGTTGTAGTCTGCAGTAATGGCTGTGCTCAAAATATTTTGCAGGTTTTTTACTACACCACCATTTTTAAGGAGGCTTTTCATAGCTACAACCTGTTGGATTGGAAAATATTGTACACATTTATATCTTTGGTCAAATGTCATTAACAATTATATCTCATATAATCCCAAACTCGAGAAAAAAGAATAATACGCACAGTGAGGCAGTCGAAATTGAACAGTGGTATTTTTTCGATATTCAGTATATGTATGTATTATTAAACTAGTCTCCTGATTTTTTTTTTTATAAAAATATAGAATTTTAAAAAAATTCAAATATAATTGAAAATAATTAAAAATAATAAAATAATCATGTAATTAAAATTAGTTAATTAATTAATTAATTTTCTTTTTTGAAAGTAATTAATTATTAATTATTAAAAATGTGCAAATAATGGTATTTAATCATTAAACGGTTACCCAAAAAAGCGCTTTCATTAATATTCATTATGATTATTAATCATTATTTAACAGGTCTGAATGAATTATAAAGCCGCAAACCCGAAAAATATTAAAAAGTTCTGATAACAGCTTTTTTTTAAACCATAAAACTAATTTAATGAGAAATATTTATGGAGCTCACAAGGTTTTGAATACTGTCGTAGATCGTAAAGTTTCACAACTGTGTATGTTGGTAACTACAAAATTACGATCTACAACAGTACGACAGTATACGACACCTTTTGAGCTTCTTCATTGTGGATACTGTAAAAAAATCACTGTATAATTTGGCTGTGACTCACGGCACGTTTGCGGTCAATTGCATAATACAACTCCATTTAATTGTTATTAAAATTATAACGAATACGTATGTACATAGGCAAGCTTATTTTCCGAAGTAATTTCGTCGTTAATTTTTAAAAGCTGCTCCTCGCTAGTTATCGAGAATTTATCAGCAATTGTTTGATGGTTATTATTCATCAGGTCATGTTTTTTAATAAAACCGTTTGTTGCGCCAGAACCTCCAAAACATATTTTAGTTGAAGAGACGCAAACATATATTTTAAATTTACTGATCTATGCAAATTATGAAAAACAATTATAAACATAATCATACCTTGCAATACTTTAACTTCTATTTGGAGGTTATCAATTTTGGGTTCCAAAATCCCACAATCAAATGGCACGCCTGTGGAGATAAAAATAGTTTAAACTATTTTTAAAACACGATACAGTGATGGTCACTTAATAAGATACAATAAAAAATACTGGATTTGTTCAAACCATTCTACATCTACTTACCTTGAAAATCGGTATTACTTTTATATATACTTTTCTTTTTGGATGGATCGCTCATCTTGGATTTGTACATGTAAAATTATATGTACTCTGACCAGATGGATATACTTCATTCATAAGTATGTATGTATGTTTGTATTTATTATTTTTATTTATTTTTTTAAATCATGTTGTTAATTAGTTAAGTCATAAAAAAGTTATTAAGGTAAGTGATTATTTATAAGCATGTGTTTAATTTGCAATTAGTGGCAACGTAAAAGCTACTAAGTTTCAAAAATCTACACCCAAGAATGCCACACCCTTCGATAACTGAAACAATGTACACAGGGATGTAATCTTTAACATAACATAAATATGTTATAATGTTTCTTGTGGCTTAAAATGCAGCCATGCAAAACGTAGACTAGGGTTCGAAATTTCAGACTTTGGAATCGATACTGAGTATCTGGCATCGAGCTCATGGTATCGATTCTCTAAAAGTATCAGGGAAAAAGTATCGATACTACTCAGTATCGAACTCATTAAAATACGTTTTTTGGGATACTAAAATTATTTTATTCTTCAATCGTATATCTAGTTATTTCCTGAAATTAAAACAATACAAATTTTAAATTATTGATCTTTATTTCATTTCAGAACTTACTTTGACGTAAGATATAATTTTTACGTTAAATGTACATACATATATATATATATACTTTCACGAATTTCAAATTTTATTAAGATTTTTTGTAAACTTTTTGGGTATGCATTTTTGTAGCCTATTCAATTTTAGTATAATAATGTGCAAGTTTGAATTAAAAGAAAAAATTGAACGGTAAGAGGCTACACGTAAAGTTGAATAGGTTACAAAACTGCATACCCAAAAGGTTTCTAAAAATTCTGCGTTTTCGTGAACTTTGCGTAAAGTTTTATGGCCTTATTCATAAAAAACAAAAAAGGTTTATAAACTGAAAAATGTATGAAAATGTCATTTTATTAAGCTCTTTAAACCTACTTTATTTTTTATGAATAAGGCCATTAAACTTTAACTTAATGATAGAATCCATTAAACAAAGAAAATCGGGTTGCCAATGGAAGAAAAAATTCAAAAAGTGTGTTTTTTAAAAAGTTTTCGATACTAGGAGTACTTTGCAAAGTATCGAGTAAAATCACCAAATAAGGTATCGAGTATTAAAGTACTCATTTTTATACCCTCAGTATCGATGCTTACTCAATATCGATAGTATCGTTCGAACCCTACGTAGGACGGAAACCGACCTATAACATGAAATCCATCTGCTGGGTATGCTACATCTAAATTATCTTGCTCCACTTTGTTAAAAATTTATTTTAGAATTTGCATTGGCTTCTTAACACTTTTTTTGAGAGTTTGCAGATAGTTCTCAAATGCATAGGCCGAATTTTCCGTAGGATATCCGATATACTCTATCGTTTGCTTTAAATGCAACAAATTATGAACATTGTACGGTAAGCTGTTTTCACCAAAAAATATGGGAAAATTTTTCACAAATAAGTTGAGCATTGACTGTTCATTGTCTAGATTTTAAAGGACTTGCTTTGGACTACACTTTAGTCTGTATGCGCAATGAAGCAATAAAAAACAATAATACACATCCTCGTGCACATTGTTTTTTAACACGGTGACGCCTGTGTACAAAGCAAACAGTCGAAACTCTGTAGCCTTCCAATAATTAATGCCATCCAAACTTCTGGGCTTGCGTGTAAACTCCTTAGGAATATTACCTCGTAATGTCAATAGCCGATGGGAAATATTTTTCAGGTAATGCGAATTCACTTTGAAGTTTATCTTTTTGTTAACTAGGCGAACTAAAAATTTCCTAGTACCTCCCAAGTCAATGAGGAGCATGCAATCGAGAGGGATTTGTTTGATCATTAGAACATTAATTTGTTCGAATGGAGATTTCCGGGTTAAAAATATTGGGTGATGATGGTTCGAATATTTTCTTTGTAAGAAATCATTATCCGAGATAAGTGAACCTGATTCTGAGCTATAAGTAAGCACTCTGTCTATTTTTCTACCTACCTATGTACACTTTGAGCACTCGTGACTTGAAGTATGGCCGGGGGTGTCACTTATGAATGCTCGCGCCGGAGCATCGCAAACTATAGCTCTTACGGCAATTTCAATGGAGGTTTTTTTACATGGAAATCCTGATTCCAGCATTGAACCCAGTTCAGATACAAAGGGATTCAGAAACTCATCACAGCTAACGGGCTTACTGTAGCCGAGAAAAACACCCACGGGAAATATTTGACAATTTTTGATATTATTGTTAATCCTGATTAAAATAGGCCATAATTGAGCTTTAGAGCTCTTGATCAAAGATACACCATCGGCGTTAATGTCAATGGTCAATTTCATGCAATGTTCAATTGAATGTGCTAATTTTTTTATTTGGTTAGAAATACCAATTTGGAAATGTGCGCCGCCCGCCATATCTTGGACGTTTAATCCCTTTTCCCTTAATATATTTACCAAACTACGGACACATTCCCTACTGGGTCTATAATTTAAAAACCAATTCCTTAGTTTTTCGTTTATGCTAAGGGGCTCTTCCTCGACAAGTCGCCAAACATTTTGAACTTCATGCGCATTCAGAATCTGCAAAGGACTTTGCGCACCGCTATGACACGTACCTGCTCTGTCTTCCAAGCCCCCATTTCTCACTTTTTTTTCAATCTCACTAAATTTTTCAAGATATTTAACTTTTTCATTTTAGATCGCACGTCTCAATGGCCTTTTGCCACTATTGCTCATAATTGCACTTTTATGTTTTATTTATGTTATTTGTTTTTGATTTTTCAAAAACTTTAATTTGCATGCAATTACAGATTTTTGTTCAAACTCCTTTTTTAGTACAACAGTCACTTTTCCTTCAACTTCAATTTTTTAATTGATTTACCCGCACTCTTTAGCTTTCAATTACTTTTATTTTTAATAGCAAGTGCTTTTATTAATAAATGTGCAGCTTATTACGTCCCGAAAACTTCAAATTTGAGCAAAACAAACGAAAATCGACGTTCGGCGCAGCAGCATTTCCCGTCAATTTCATAGCACATTTGGATTTTCGTGTTATTGGTTTCGCTTCATGTTTCATCTTTCCACTTTATTCCTCTTTCTCCAGGGTGACCGTTTTGCATCAGTGTACTAAATTGGTACTTTTTAGTGCATTCAAATTTATAAATTCCTTAATTAAATTAATAATAATAGTATAAAACTATTATATATATATATATAAAGTGGCGTTCAAAATAATAGCAGCAAAATTCAAAATGACGCTGTTGGAAACTTATCTTTATTTATTTATTGTTAATAGTTTTCCTTTAAAATATGGGTCTATCTATATCAGATACCATATAAATAAAAGTTTGTAAAGGTATTTTTAATAAAATATTAAGTTAAAATATATTTAAAATGCTTAATATAGCAGAAAACAGTGATCACGGTGGCACAGAGAAGAAACATAAGTTTTCCTTGAGGTGTGAGAATAACAAGCACAACTAATTTGACGGCTAATAATCTGAGATTTGCCTGTGTAAACGGGGTGATTAAAAACGAGCTTTGATTGAGATAATATTTATATGTGATCATACTTTTACATAAAAAAGGGTTTATGAAGTATGCAAACGTACATTTAAATAATTTGAAATCGGCAAACCTTTTTTCAAAGTCTACTTTTAAATCATGTGCAATATTTTTCAAGCCATGGAAAATGATGAAATATTATCATGAATAAAAAGATCTAGTCAAAAATATTTTTATTCTCTCCTTATAGAGACAAATTCAAGTCTTGCAAATGGTCCATCATATCGGCAAAGAACATTAACGGCTCTTTTCTGTATCAGTGACAAATTATTTTCAGTGTTTTTCACGGAAAATACATGAAAACGTTAAAATTTGTCAGTAAATATTTTTTTGTCACCGATACAGCATTGGGCTCTAAGTCAGAAAGCCAGTTTTCATTCTCCAATTGCGGGCAATATTCCGATCTCAATTTGAGTATGTGTATATAAAATGAATAAAATAAAAAAAACAACACAATGAAAAAGAATGCCCAGCAAAGAAAGATATATTTTAAAAAGTAAAAAGAGCCAAAATGTTCTAAGCAAAGAGAAAGTACAAAGCGCCGCACTTTGCTAAGCAAAGGGCCGCGTTTGGCTCAAAGAGCCGCGTTTGCCCACCGTTGATATATATAAACCCAAACAATTTAAAAAGTAGTAGTTATGTAGAAAAGGAGTAGTCATGTATTGCTTTATTTTGGTACTTTTCAGTCCGATATTTGCGTGGTCGTCACACTGGCTCTCTCACTGCGAATATGCGAAAAAGAACATGGATAAGTATTCAAAATTTATTATTTGTATTTAAATGACAAATAACAAATTCATTTATGTAATAAGGGAGCATTATCATATTAAAACGACCAATAACCTTTAGAAGGAGCAACATGTAACCAATAGCTAGATTTATTACTACTTGGAGCATAATATGCTATTGGAACTAACGGGTGATTTTTTAAGAGCTTGATACCTTTTTTTTTAAAAAAAACGCATAAAATTTGCAAAATCTCATCGGTTCTTTATTTGAAACGTTAGATTGGTCCATGACATTTACTTTTTGAAGATAATTTCATTTAAATGTTGACCGCGGCTGCGTCTTAGGTGGTCCATTCGGAAAGTCCAATTTTGGGCAACTTTTTCGAGCATTTCGGCCGGAATAGCCCGAATTTCTTCGGAAATGTTGTCTTCCAAAGCTGGAATAGTTGCTGGCTTATTTCTGTAGACTTTAGACTTGACGTAGCCCCACAAAAAATAGTCTAAAGGCGTCAAATCGCATGATCTTGGTGGCCAACTTACCGGTCCATTTCTTGAGATGAATTGTTCTCCGAAGTTTTCCCTCAAAATGGCCATAGAATCGCGAGCTGTGTGGCATGTAGCGCCATCTTGTTGAAACCACATGTCAACCAAGTTCAGTTCTTCCATTTTTGGCAACAAAAAGTTTGTNATGTAACTAGTACGAAAGTGACAATTGTCTCCGAACCCACTGCAGGGTGATTATTTCTAAACGTATGTGTTCCTTTTCCTTCGTACGTGTTTATTGATACTAGTATCGCCCCGTTGTCGAAATTCGACCAGTTCACTTTTTTCACACACTTTTTCATTTTGCCTGGGAAGTTTTTTAGGTCCATCAGCACCTGTTAATCGTCTAGCTCACTTACATATATTGTTTGGTGGAGTAATATACATTCTGTTAAATAATTTAAAAATTCATAGATAGTGAAACCAAATCAGGCACCTACCGGAAAATAATACCTTTCGAACAAAAGAAGAATCATTAAAATTGGTTGAGAAGCATAGGAGCAGTAGGGAGGAAT